ATGTATGTATGTATGTATGTATGTATGTATGTATGTAATGTATGTATATATATATGTGTATGTGTTTTTAAAAGATATATATTTATTTTACACATATATTTGAATTTGTGCTCTGGGCCCATAGGAAATGTCCCATTTGTACTATGATCCCTTGGGAAATATTAGCCTATGGTAGCAGTATGTATTTTCATCTTTACTGCATCCCTAAAAAACGATTTTTTTTTTTAAAAAAATGCACGGGTTGTGGCATATGTGGTAGCATACTGCCCCCTGGTGCATAATTAAAAGCATAACAGATTTGTGGGCTCTGTATTAGCAAATTTTTCTGGCTTACTGCTGGCATACATTGAAACATAACCAATTACTTTTTATAAATGATGTATCCTATTTTCCAGGCAGTTATTTTAAATCAGAAGTTATTAATTCACTTAATATTTATATATTATATTTGTCCTGCCACAGCTCTTTGTTGAAGTATAATCTGTATACATACATATACATAAACATGTACATGCAAACCTAAATAGAAAATACATAAAATATATAAGTACAAAAAAAAAAAAAAAGAATAACTGCTGAATGCTTAAAATTTATTGGGTGAACTATTCACCTACAAATGAAAGACTGACATATGAATCATGTAAAATTTTTAGTGTTTCAGTATTTTTCATCCGAGCAGAATTAGGATATCTTCTAGAACATACGATTAGAGTATGGAAGCCTTACTGGTACATTGAGAGATAAATTCATAAAGATCCATGTTTCAGATTACATGTATGAGTTTTTATACAAAAATGTGCTGTGGTGTGTCTCCAGTACATTATTAATCTTTCAGGAGGCAGCCACCTACTTACAGCAACATGTTTTTTGTGGCCTCTTTGTAATTAAAGGAAAATAATGTATTCATAATCAGGACATGAGATGGACCTTTTCATGTAATTATGTGATGGGCACGTGGCCTCTATTTAAAAATTGGCCAACTTATTGCAAGGAAATGCTACCTATCCAATTGTATATAAAGGATAAAGTAAAAACCAAGAAATTTCTCCTTTACTTCTAGTGGCTATAAGGATATATTCAAGTAAGTTTCTTGGCAACCTCTCAGTACAGATTTTTCCCACTTTCTGGAAATTGTTTTCCTCCCCAATCTTGCCTACCGTCTCATTCAATTAATAATCAGGTTTTACTAATACTTCTGTCTAAAGTATTATCTTCTACTTCCGGAAACCATATCTGCGCAATGGTACAATGTCCAACTAAGGATAGTACTTTATATTTCAGATAATGTTGGCTATGTAGTCAATGGGAGTCCAACAAATCCATTAAATATATCTTTTGATATTGGTGTTATTGCAAACTAACATGGCTACCTCTTGGTCTATTAGTTTGTATCAATCTACATTATCAAATTTTATAAAACATTTTCAAAAATTCATTTCAATATTTATTGAATTATTTCTATATTTCCTAGTAAATTAGCATATTTCTGTTGTGTAGAAGGTGAGTGGCAATATGCTAAGCAAACCACTGTGCAAGTATATGCATTTAAGCAGGCTGGATCTACACAGTTTTTATTTTAAAACAGTTCTTTTAAAAGAATTATGTTAAAACTTTAATAACTTGCCCCGCTTTACCTGTAAGCTAAATAGAATAGTCATGTAAGTTTAAAATTAATTCTTAAAAGGAACACATTGCTAAGAAAGCATTGTCCAGAAAAGAAGTATAACTTATAAAAGCAGATTTCTAAAGTTAGGCTAAAATGCTTTTCTTCCTAAAGAAAGTGCCACTGCTTGAATATTTTAATAACTTAAAAAACAACAGAAAGGGCATTTTTAT